TTCTTATTTTATACTGTCTTTGTCTAGTTTTGGTATCAATACTCTTCTCATGAAATGAATTGGGAAATGTTCCCTCCTCTTCTCTTTCCTTGAAGGATTTGTGTAAAATTGGTGTTAATTTTTCTTTAAATATTTGGTAAAATTGTCCAGTGGAACCATCTGGGCTTGGAGAGTTCTTTTTCAGGAACTTTTTAATTACAAATTCAATTTCTTTAGTGATTATAGAACTGTTCAGATTATCAGTTGAATTTTGGTGATTTGTAGTTTTCGAGGAATTAGTTCATTTCTTCTATGTTGTTGAATTTATGAGCATTATGAACAATATTATAAAATTGTTCATAGAATTCCTTTTTTTCCTTTTATTGGTTGCAAGATCTGTAGTGATATCCTCTATTTTGTTACTGATATTGGTGATTTGTGCCTTCTTAATTTATCCTTGTCAGTCTTAACAGAGGTTTATCTTTTTTTTTTCTTTTTTTAAATCAGCTCTTTGTTTCATTGACGTTTCTCTGTTGTTTTCTTGTTTTTAATTTCATTGATTTCTGGTCTTATTTTTATTATTTCCTTTCTTCTGCTTGTTTTAGGTTTATTTTGCTCTTCTTTTTCTAGTTCCTGAAGTAATAACTTAGATTTTTAATTTGAGATCTTTCCTCTTTCCTAGTGTAACATTTAGTGCTATAAATTTCCCTCTCGACACTCCTTTAGCTGAATCCTGCAAAATTTGACATGTTGTATTTTCATTTATCTATGTATTTCTTGTTTCTTTTGAGACTTTCTTTTTGACCCATGGGTTATTTAGAAGTATGTCACTTAATTTCTAAGCGTTTGAAGATTTTCCCACTCTCTTTCTGTTACTGATTTCTAATTTTATTCCATTATAGTCAGACATATACTGTGTAAATTCTTTTAAATTTGTTGAGACTTTTGTTTGTTTTGTTTTTGTTGTTGTTTGACCCAGGATAGGGTGTATTGCTGTGAATGTTTCATGGGTGCTTTAAAAGTATTTGTATTTTTCCTTTTTAGGTAGAGTGTACTGTAAATATCAGTTAGAGCTTGTTGGTTTATGGTACTGTTCAGTTCTTTTTTATTTTTGCTGATTTTTTTGTCTAGTGCTTCTATCAGTTACTAAGAGTGAGCATTGAGATCCTCAACTGTATTTGTAGATTTGTTTGTCCCTCCTTTTAGATTTATCAGTTCTTGTTTTTGTATTTTAAAGCTTTGTTGTTTAGTGCATACACATTTAGGATCACTGTGTTTTCTTGGTGGATTGATCATTTTATCATTATGAAACATCTGTCTTTGTCCCTAATAATTTTTTTGCTCTGAAGTCTACTTTATCCAATATTAATATAGCCACTCCTGCTTTTTTTTTTTTTTAATGTTTGCATGATATATCTTTTCCCATCCTTTTATTTTCAATCTATCTATCTTGTTACATTCAAAATGAATTTCTTGTAGACAGCATATAGTTGGGTCCAATCTGTAATTCTCTGTTTTTTAGCTGGTGAGTTTAGACCATTTATATTTAAAGTAATTATTGATATGTTAGGGTTTTGACTCATGGGATTCTTCTTACATCCTTAACCATTCAGCAGTAATCACAAAACATAAGTCAAATGAATTTCTTTCTTTCCTTCTCTCTCTCTCTTTTTTTCTTTTCTTTTTTTTGCTTCATGGCATGGTGCCTGGGTCCTGAGAGAAGAGTTTCCCAAAAGTGACCATTCCAAGAGGGCCATGAGGAAGCTGCAAGGCTTCTTAAGACCTAGCCTCAGGTCCCAAGTCTCAGAATGCCCCTTCTACCACATTCCATTGGTCGCACAGGGCCAACCCAAATTCAGTATGGGAGGTGACTGCACAAAGGCAGGAATACCAGGAGGTAAAGATCATTGGGGACCACGTTGGAGACTGGCTACCACTACCACTAATTCGTATGCTAGAGGTAAAGTCAGAGTCACAGGCTATAACTCAGACCCTGTCAACTAGCTAATCACTCTGAGATTCAACTTTATCATTTATAAATTGAGGAGACTGGACTAGATGACCACTTATGTCTCTTGTGACTCGGTGATTCTGCATCTGTTAGTCAGTATCTTTATATCTTTTTTCCCCAGCTTTATTGAGGTATAGCTGACAGTTTAAAATTGTATATATTTAAGATGTGTAACTTGATGATTTGATATACATATACATTGTGAAATAGACACCACAATCAAGCTACTTAACATGTCATACATCACCTCACATAGTTACCATTTTTCTTTCTTTCTTTCTTTTTTGGTCAAATGGATTTCTTGGCATGTTAGTACGGTACCATTTTACCACCAGTAAAAGGAAAGATTTAACCATTGTTGCAGTAATCTCTGGACTACTCTAGAGCTCAGTTTGGCAAACTAATGCAGTTACCATTGGTTCCAGAAGCAGCCAGTATCCAATATTAGAGTGTCTATAGATTATTATAGGTATGCCCAGTGCTGGGTGAATGATCTGGATGATTAAAGAAGCCAGAAACCTTATCCAAATTGAGCAGTAGCAAAAGAACTTGACATTGGCCAGATTATTTCACGGAACTCTTCTTTCTGAATGAATGAAGATCAGCCAATTAGGGCCTTTTCTTTCTAATTTATACACTTTTGATTATAAAGGAAATTGACCAGATTTTAGTTCAGTAGTTTATTCATTGTTATAATCTGAGCCTTGCTAAGCCTCTCCCAACTTGCATTTTACCCAAATAAGCTTCCCCCAAAAAATCATAACTTGTTTTAAAAACAATAAGACATCAGTAGGACTGCATCCTGTTGTATTCGCCTAAGGTTCCTTGTGCCTTCCAGTCTGTGCCAAGATCCTGACTTAACCCCAGTCCTGTCATAGTCAGCATTAGAATAAACTGACAGTTTATTCAGATATTTTAAACAGAGACACCTTTCATTTGAGTGACTCCCTCCCAAGGGGAACACTTTGAAAGATAATACTCATTTAGTTTAGTTCAGGTATTTTGAGAAGTGTCTTTACTCTATAATCACGTCTTATATACTATCTTTTCAAATTATTCCTGACACTTGTAAGTCATTGTTATAAGGTAAAGTGTATGATTTATAGCCTTGATAGAGATGTGGTTTATGGATCTCACATCATAGTCATCACTGGACTGTATGCCTTTGGCCCCCTATGGCATGGTCTTCTTGAAGCAGTGTCAAATGTTTATGTTCATGTTATGCTCTGACTGGAGGACCGAGACTTTCTCTTTTTCTTTGTATTCCCTATACTTGGCGTCCTGCAGTTACATAGTAAACTTACTGAATGAATTGGGGCTGGCGTATGGGAGAGACTGAGCTTTGGCCCTACTTAAGTCCAAGTTCCATCTTGATAGACTGAGGACTTTTGCTCTATAGTGGATAGAATAATAATGAGTAGAAGTTATTTTGGACAGCATTGTTTCAAGTTCATTTCAGTGACAACACTAAAGCTTTCAAAAAATTTTTTACAGGTATACATTTTGGCTTACCATGTGTTTGACGTAATTCTTTATATTCATTTTACCTAGTTTAATTCCTATGACCTAATCTCAAGGGAAGTCCATAGGGGAGGAAATATGAATCACTTACCCAGTGAGATGTGCCTGTCACTGATTTTTCACATGTATTCAAACTAACCAGATATACAAAAATAATTTAGTTACAGTGATTAAATGTCTAGGCATAGTATGATTAGCTGTGAAGTAAAGTCATAATCCTGTGTTTGAAATTTTCAACCTATGCCTTATTAATAAAAGAATTAGAAGTTTGGCAGTAGATTTTCATCTGAGAAAATAGATGTGGATAGAGAGCATCCTTATATATTATAATTCTGATTTTTGTTTAATTGTGAGTTATGACAAAACTATTGGGGAAAGGAAGAAGGTACTGGGACTTAGTAGCTTCTATTAAAATATAATTACCATTAAATTATATCTTTCCTTTTTATTTTGTATGAACTAGATAATAAAGATCCTTAGTAAAAGTTCAGATTTTGTGCCCATTTAACCAAAGGTATTTGACCAAACATTTTTTGGAAATGTTTAAATGATCCCTGTGTCTCTTTCTGGAAAAACAGCTTCCTACTACCTTAGGAAAAAGACTTATTTGAGGTCCAACATCTGACACGAGCTTATTTACCCTCTTATTGATTGAGTTTCCCAGGCATTAATTTGATTTCTTTCTTCTTTTATGATTTGATATCTTACAGTCCAGCTTTGAATGATGGATTTTTAGTCTAGAAATATCCTCCAGAATAAATATTCCTGTGTTTAATTCTGTAGTGTCTGTCTCCAGGAGAAATAGTCAGAAGTGGGAGTTCAGATTCGGAGGGGTGCTAGGTTGGTAATTTTGCTCCAACTTCATGGGGAGAATAATCTCTATCCTAAAATGAAGCACAAGGATAAGTAATAACTTTTTATGCATGATAAGCATCAAAAATATGAACCTGCTGGTCCTTGCTTTTCATTTTTCTTTACCTCTGTCTTTCAGTGAGAACCTCCTGCAGTGTGCACGCGATGTGATCAATAACTCAATAACTTTTTTCATGCAGTAATTATCTCCATGTGATATTATCTGAACACTGTTTTTCTTTATTACTCAAAAGATGCAGGAGATATTTATGTAACCAGCTGATCCCATTTTGAATAAAGGTGCTTTGTGACAGCGGGAGAAATAGTTTATTTTAAATAGCCTTTTAAAATAAATACTCTATGAAAAGCTTTTCCAGTTAATTTTCACGTAGCATAAGAAGGTGATTACCAAAAAGGTTTAGATCTAAAACTTGTACTTTGTATATTTTACAGTATGATAGTCATTCTTTCTAACTTATAATAAATACAATTTAAGTTAAAATATTGAACCATTTAACATAACCATAATTTTTTTGTGATTCCTCTAAATCATTTTAATGTGATTCCTCTAAATCTAATGAGCTAAACACATTAAGTTCTACCATCTCTGCACGTCTCACAGAGATTCTTGTTACAGGCAGAGATCCTGCAAGAGTCCCGGATGATGATCCCAGATTGCCAGCGCAGGTTGGAAGCTGCGTATACCGATCTTCTGCAGTTATTAGTAAGTAAATACTTCTCTGTCTTATGTTTCAAAATTTTTCCATCTAATACATGGAAGGCCAAAATTTTAAATATTTAACACTGAAAACTAGTTGGTGATGTATTTTGTTCGCTTGCTCTGTGTACCAGTATATTTTTAAATAAATAAAGGAGTTTAAATTGTGTTTTATGTTATGCCTCCAGTAAAAGTACTGTGTCTAGCATGTTTATTCTATTTATTTAAATTTAGTTAATTAATTATATTTGAGTTATCATGGTAGATATTTATAGTACTAATATTGTGCAGCAATATCTTGAATTATTTGGTTTTCATACATAAAGATCTTTTTTGACACATGAAAGGTGAGTAGACTGAAATTTTAAAAGGTCCAGATGTTTCAAATGAATTTGGGCCCTTAGAAAAAAGATTTAGGATTCTTTCAGATTCAAACCTAAATCAATTTAAGAGGAAAAAAACCCTGTAATATAGGCAGTCCTCTCATATTAACTTGGAGCTGGATAACACTGTTATCATACTTGCTGTTATAAATGCCTTGTGATACAGTGGCAGAATAATTTTATAAAGGATTCTAAGAATAATTAAAAGTCATCTTATTTCTTTTTTAATAGAGATAAAAGCATAATACTATGTATAAGCCAGTTGTTATTGCTGTTTGATAAGAATTGGATGAATTCTAACATTTCCTTTACTAATCTCATTTTATATGTTTCTTTTTCTTGAGCTAATATTATTAACTACATAGCTGTCTCCTGATTCATAGTTATTTCTATATAACAAAAATAACATGAGGCCTTTTCAGGATGATCATATGTGTTCTTTGAAAGAGAATGAGATTTGTTTTCCCACCAAAGTAATATTAGGACTAAATCTGTAGAAAAAAAGAGAGAAATGTTCATATTTTACTTTAATTTTGACACAGAACTCCATGTTTATCTATAGGAACCTTTTAAAGGCAGAATAACTCTCCTAAAAAGCCAAAAATGAAGCTGTGGTTTTGAAATAAAAGATAGATGAAAGCAGGAACTAATTACTCTATTAAAATACTACCTGAGACAGAAGAATCATTTGTATTTCCTGACAATTTAAATGCTTTTTTCTTTCATGAAACTAGTTCTAAGAAAGTAACAGAAATTGCTTGAAAAAAAATAATATTGTCTTTGGGTGATATATGTATTCAGCAATATCTCTACCCTCAAAGTGTTTATATTTACTGACATGAACAAAGACATGTTTAGGTGTAATGTAGAAGTTTAAGAAATTCTGACCTATAGTCTGAGTTAAGCAGATTCTCAGTCTTTACGCTTTAAATTTCCATATTAAATACACACACGCACTTTATTCCCTCTGCTCTTAACTGTTTATGTATCTCCATCTTTTATTGACCTAACATGAATTCCTGACCTTAGCTTTATTTATTTATTAAAAATCAGGGCCAGCCCCATGGCCTAGCGGTTGGTTAAGTGCGTGCGCTCCGCTGCTGGCGGCCCTGGTTCGGATCACTGGCACACACCGATGCACCACTTCTCCAGCCATGCTGAGGCCGCGTCCCACGTGCAGTAACTAGAAGGATGTGCAGCTATGACATACAACTATCTACTGGGGCTTTGGGGGAAAAATAAATAAATAAAATTTTTAAAAAAATAAAAATAAATAAAAATCAAACAAAATTTCCTACGCACAACTTAGATGACACTGTTTTACTTATCTGTTACCGTTACAATATAGTAGTAAAAGTTTTCTCTATAAAAGTATCAAGGAAAAACTCAATCTTTAAATATTAGAAAATGAAAGATGTTAGTACTTTGTTTCTTATAGTAGTGTGAATAATACTCCTTAACAAGCAGACGGTTCACTTTTCTAATTAAAGATTGTACCTAACTCTAGGGTGACACCAGTAGCCTTCTTTGTCATTGTGAGTAGTTGGAGGGTTATTTTGGTCTGAATGTTATCATATACTTAACGTGTTAGTAAATCATGATTTTTTACTTTTAGTTCATTATTAATAATAATCCTTTTGTGTGGTGATGTGTTCACAAAATGAGAATAAAATTCTTTTTTTAATTTTTTGAGGTTTCTATTTGCCAGTGACTTTACATGACCATGTTTTTCACTAACTGAGAATATACAGTGACACAAAACCAGAGCTGCTATTTCTTCCCTCACCTATAAAGAACAGAACTGTGGAAAATCCGTGGAATTTTACTGTAGTTAGATGAGGGTTAGGATCCTTTTCCTTTTAATTTTTGAAGTGTCTACGTTGATAGTTTGTAATATTTGAGTAAATAACAAAGTACTTAAGTTTGAGGAGGATAAACCTAATTTTTCTTGTATTTCGTTTCAGGAGAGTGAAAAAGAGTTGGAAGAAGCTGAGGAGTATCAGGAAGCGCGTGTAGTACTGGGGTCAGTGAAGTTGGAAGCCTGAAGGTTTTTCTGTACAGGGTGTGTTTTGCATTAAATCTCGGGGTCCATTCCACAATTCATTATTTTCGACCACTGCTGTGTGTTCAAGTAGTATGAGAATGTGATTCTTTTTATGCAGTTGCCTGTATTTTTCTTTGCCTAATTTAATGTGTCAAATAAATGAGTTCATCTAATAAAATTGTTTCTTTCATACTTTACAAAATATTTTAAATTAACCTTTTATCATTAAATCATAGTCATTTTTGACTGTGAATTAAAATTTGTTAGGTTCTATTTGAAGTCTAGATATTTTGCCTCATAAGCATGGATTAGGTTAAAAATAGGATGCCTTTTTTTTTAAGATAAAAATCCAAATTTTGAGCATTTTATTCTAAATGGGGTACCCCTCCCTGATAAGAAAAGAACCTCTCTGTGGATAAGGCCTCACATATTTATCCCTTCTCAGTGAAAGTCTCACATTTCCATTACTGTAAACTAATGGGAAACATTTAAATCTTCTTCCAGAAAGACAGATTTATACAGAAGACAACAACCATTTAGCTCTTCAAATAAGATTCTCATAAACAATAAAGAATTGAATTGTATTTTAAAGGAATAATGGCTGTTGCCAGTGGTGTGCTGGGAAATATTTAATGGCTCTTCAAAATGGGAACGGAACCTCTGATTTATAGCATTTGCTGATTTCTGTAGTATAAATGCTTCCACTGTGGCCAATTTCAAGCTACCATCGTGACATCACAGAACACAGAGTTGGCAAGATACAAGCCAGCTTCAGTATACACTGGCCGTAGCCAAACCTAGATTATCTCAATTGACTGGAAAAGAGCATTGTTTTATCACAAAGTGTTTTTCCAGTACAATTGTAAACCCCTTACCTAATCATGTGCATTTATTTTCCAAAAATATATGACAACTCATTTAGTTTTCTTCTATTTCTAGAAAATGTGTATAAGCCTTATATCACCAGGCTAACATGAGCAGTGATCTCGTGAACAAAAATAGTAATAATAGCATTTAGACTTTAAAACTTATAGTTGAAAAAATAAGAAAACTTGAATTTGTGCTGCTGTAAGATACATATTTGTAGTACCGTTGGTCTACAAGTGATTGTTTTGGAGGTTGCAAACAATCACTAGAAACCATAACCTTTATTGAATCTGTCAAAAAGATCAGAGAAGAGAAAAATAATACTATTCTGATGTTATTTTTAAAGGCTTCTCTGTTGTTTTAAAGCACAGAATGTATCCTTTATAAAATAAAATCTTTATACATGCATAAAATTACTTCATCAGAGAATAACATACATCAGAAGCATTTCTAAATTGAAAGGCATAATCTTAAAACATATTACATGCCATTTTATGAGTATTTGAGATGGGAGCGGGGAAGAGCGAGGAAATGAGAACCATGATTACGACGTAAATTTTATACTAAGGTTTAATATTAGAGATTTGAGTACCAGGAGAATTAAAACTCTAGATTATTTGGTGGTTGATATTAAGTACCAGAACAGGTTGGCTATTTGGGGGGGTGGGGGGGTTACACAGTTTTCCAAATAGGATATCATTTAAAGAAAGTATTTTACTTTTTTTATGTAAAAACATCTCATTTCAACCTTCTGCCAAATATGTAACTATAATATATACTCATAGCAAATGGCTTCTTGACCCACTAAAGCTTGAAGAGAACATAACTCATAAAAAAAAGAGGGGGCCAGCCCTGACAGCCTAGTGGTTAAAGTTTGGCGTGCTCCGCTTTGGAGGCCCGGGTTCGCTTCCTGGGCACAGAACCACACCACTCATCTGTCGGTAGCCATTCTGTGGCAGTAGCTCATATAAAAAAAATAGGAAGGTTGGCAACAGATGTTAGCTCAGGGCAAATTGTTTCCAGCAAAAAAAAAAAAGATAGAGGAAGTACTGATGGGGAAGTTTTGCAGCCAGGATCTGAATCAGTTGCTGAAAAAATTTTCTTGCCAAAAAGCCTAGGAAAGAAGAAATCAACAACAAGGTAGACAAAAAGAGATGTATCTTTAGAGAATTTCCATCTCAAATATAGATTTTATACTGCATCTTTCTCCAGACATTGATGAGAAGCAGCAAGACGCTTATTCTGTGAAGGCTTATTCCTGGGAATTTTTGACACATTCCACTCAAGTTTTCATGGCCATCAAGAGGCACATTAGGAACAGTTTTAATCAATTCAGCATTAACTTGTTTTTAAGCTTTTATTTAAAATCTTACATCTGTGTAACAATAGGTAGGAATTCCCAAAAGTAATGTTGCCTTTTCCTCCCTGCCAACACCTGACCCCCAGTCGGCGTGTGGCAGTTGCTCAGTAAATGTGTAGAATGAGTGAAAAGCATGAACATCTCTAACCTTTGGCGTGAGAGAGAGATGCTGTGAAGGATTCCATCACATCACACGAAAGAGTGCTTCTCAAACTGGTGTTCACAAACCACAGCGAGAAACACGTTTTCCATTGTGACCCAGTACATATGTATGGGGGCCTATATATACATAAAGCAATAAGTATCCTTAATATGTACAGTTCCTCAAATGTTTCCTATTCTATTTCATTTTTTTGATAGTGATCATGACCACCTGCTATTGGGTTGTGAAAAACACTACCCTAATACAATAATATAAAATAATTCTATTTATAAAAATTCTTTCTCTCTTTGTCTCTCTGTATACGTGTGTATGTATATATAGATCAGCTTCTTAGGTCTCAGAGTGGTTGTCTCTGAATGTGTGCAGGGTTACGCACATTGCGGGTATAAGGCATCGTGGAGACACGTGATCACGTACATTTGTTACATGCCCCTAGTCCTTGCCCAGACTAATCAATGGCTCCCAAAGAATAGAGAGGCAAAACAAAGACAAGTGACAGAATTAAGTGGTAAACCTGACTTTTCTGTATTTTTCTGTACAGCAAAGAGCACATCATTTCTAAGTAGGTAAGAATGTGCAAAGGATAAAGAAATAGAGACATCATGTGTGGAATGAGTAAAGTGACCAAGTCCAAGCTGGTTTTAAGGCCACTGAGAGCATTCCCAAGTTCTAGCATTTTCACTTGGACATTCTTGGCTAGTGGGGATTCAGTCCTAGTAAATTAAAGTCCTCCCCCGGAGTCCTGGACAGGAGCTTTCTGCCTGGGCTCTGGGGACATTTACATTTTGGATGAGTGTTAACATCTCAAGAACTAGATTGTCCCTCCTTTATCCTATTTTGTACCATGTGGATAAGTCATGTAAACAGTTCCTTGGGAAGGAATGGAATTTGTGGGGAGGGAGAAAAAAGCACACTCTAAAATAGACACATGTTTATTTTAAGAGTAATGAAAGCTGGTTAAAACATTGTAATGTTCATTTAACATTTCTTGACTTTCTGGTGAAGAACATTCAAAGCCTAATATTTAACAGTTGTCTCTATGCCTCTATCTGTGCACTGAGTCCTTTCCAAATTGAGCAGTCAAACCTGGTTAATCTAAATTACTTTGCAAACTTCATTACAATACTTGGCTTTTTAAAAATTCTATCAAGTTTAATAAGGACATATCCTACAGCCAGTTATCACTTAAATATTATTTGGTCATTTAGACAAACCAAGGACAGATGAATCCTTTCTTTGATGGCCAGTTAGGGCCTTTAAATGTCAGAGTAAACTTGACAGGGATGCGAGCAAGAGCTGTGAAGCATTTGGCATTGAAGGGTAATCAGATCATTTAGTGCTTGAGAACCTTTTGAGTGCTTTAGCTGGATAGAAATTGAACAGTTTAGAAATGGTGCACTATGAAACAAGTTATAAGTATTAGTGTACTTGAAATTTTCAAGAGTGCTTCATAAAAATCTACACTGCACTCCACTCTTCGTCTTACTGCTCTTAGGAGAGGTATCTGTTCATGTATTGGACTGTTGCACAGAAAGGTGTAATTAATTATGTTACAGAAGATCTGCACTTTATATTTGTTTTGTGCTTTCTGTTGACTGCTGGATAGTTGATAAGGTGATTTCAAAGTCTTGGGGGGAATATTTTCCCCCAACAAGAGGTTGATATTTTTAACGCACAAAGAGGCCTTTCAAATTAATAAGAGAAAAATCTCCAGTATAAAAAATAGACAAAGGATAGAATCACACAGTTCACAAAAGAAAAGCAGATGGATAGGTTTTTTTTTTTTAATGTGTCAATTCAGTAGTAATCAAATTCAAATTTGAAGAACAGTGAAGCAAAATTTTTGAAGATGATTATCTGTTGGCTATGTGTGATAAAGTACTAGCCAACAAGACTAGATAAAAGGATGAAATGAAAAATAAATACTGGAAAAGAGGCATCATTTTCATTATATGCAGTTGATAAGATATGTACCAGGAAAACACGAGAGAGTTATCTGTAAAATAATTAGAAGCAATGAGGAAATTAAAGTGGGTAGCTGCAAAATAAATATATGAAGTGTTATGTGTTGAATTATGCCCCCCAAAAAGCTATGTTGAAATCCTCACCACCAGTACCTTATTTGGAAATAGGGTCCTTGCAGATATCATTAGTTAAGATGAGGTCATACCAGAGTAGGGTTAATCTAATAACATGACTGAGGTCCTGATGTGACAACATGAAGACACAGGGAGAAGGCCATGTGACAACACAGGCAGAGATTGGAGTCATGCAGCCGCAAGCTAAGGAGTATCCAGGTGACACCAGAAGCTAGGAGAAAGGCATGGAGCAGATCTTCCCTTGGAGCCCTTGAGAGCACGGCTCTGCCGACACCTTGATCTCAGACTTCTGGCCTCCAGAACTGTGGGACAATAAGTTTCTATCACTTTAAGCCACCCAGTTTGTGGCACGTTGTTACAGCAGTCCTAAAAAACTAATACATAGAACCCAAAAGCTTTTCTGTATGCCAGCAATAACCAAATATAATGGCAGAATAAAACCCTGCTGAGAGTCTGAGGAGATGACATTTTAAAAAATGACTTGTGTTATACATGGAAAGTTAATATTGTCAAAATGTGGTTTCTCCCCATGTCAATCTGTAAATTCAATGGAAGAAAATACAACAGGGTTTGAGGGGAGGAGGGAAATTTTAGGAAATGATTCTAAAATCCAATTTTTTAAAAAAAATTTTATACAGGCAAGAATAGCTGGGAGGCAGAATATGAAAAAGAGTAGTGATGAGGGGAAACTAGCTCTGTTCAC